TTCAACCTTTGATTGTTCTTTTTGGTCATTTGGCCACTTGTGTTTTTTCGTGATTTTATTAATAGAATCTCCCGTTTCGACAAAAAAAAAATAAAAAAAAAATGATTCAATTGTGTACGGAGTGAGCCAGACCCATAGTTGGATCCACAATTGGGAAGCCCATGTTTAGCGCCTCCTTAGGGTCCCCATTGTATCCTATAAGTATACCAAGTCCTTAGATTCCACCAACACAAGATTCACACGTGCAGTTCTTGATTCTTGAGACAAGATATCACAGCCCAAACCAAGAGCTTAGAGACAAAAAAAATCATGAGTTTTGTGAGAGATTCGGGAGATCCGACTAGCCGTTGACCACGAAAGATCAGAGTAGGTGATCGGCGTACAATAGAAATCAAAAGGTTATATATTCTGCTATCCCGAAAAAGATATATACAACCACGTGAGTTGTCTGATGATCATGAAACTTGGCGTGTTCCTCCACTTATGACCACTATCACCAGCGACACTTGGCACATCCCAGTGATATGACGCGACAACACCCAGAGATTACCACTAACCACCCGCGTGACCTGCAACAGGCCCAGGCGTATTGCGGACATCATGTGCAACACGTCCTGACGACCCGCAACAAGCAACACGACACGATCCCAGCGACCCGGGGTTCGCGAACTTCATGCAGAGCAGTCCCTGCGACAACACTCAGTGACACAACCTAGACAACACAATGCGCAATGACCCAACACACCTTGGTGATCTATTGGCGACGTTCGGTGTTGCTCGGTGATCATCGAGCAGTGGTCGACGGAGTAGTCGTTTTTTCCATCTTCAGGTGGTGTATGCCCAACAGACTATGTCACCTTGCCTTCTGCAGACCGTGTCGATCACCAGATAGTGGATTTCATTGAAACGTTGCGAAAGACACATGAAGCCACGCGTGCTCTCTTGGAGGCGATAAGTTGATGCTCATTGTCGCCACCTAGAGTTTAAGGTGGGTGATTTTGTGTGGGCTATTTTAACAAAGGATCGGTTCTCTGCCCATGATTATGAAAAGTTGTCTGTTCGTAAAATCAACCCGGTCGAGATAGTTGAAAAATCAATCCTAATGCCTATCGTCTTAGTTTTCCATCCCATATTCGTACATCATAAGCATTTATTGCCAAGCTTTTGAGGCCTTGCATGGTGATAATTCCGATGGATACGAGATTATTTCAAATTTCAGTGAGAATCTTTTTTATGAAGGAGAGAAGGATGAAGACGAGATTGCATTAGCATTCCCGGATAAACATCATCGATCTAGTTATTTATTACTTTTATTTTCATTGTTATTTAAGTATTTTTATTCTTTTATTTAATGAGTAATTTTATTTTGGTAGGGCCTTTTTGAGATTAGTATTTAAGACTCTTACTTCATTGTCTTTAGAATTGATTGCTTTTGATTAAGAAATATCTCTCAATCCCTTTTATCGATACGCTTTCGCTATATCAAAACATTATAAACTCAATTGAGACTATTGGATGTCCAGCTCGAACAGGGCCAAAACAATCAGAATCTCTGCACATATGTTTTAACATTTTTTTACTCTGTTATATTCGGTTGTCTACCTTCTACAAAAATTCAATTTCCGTCCATTTACTTGTTTAAAATCATTTTTTTGGTACACTAACTTCTCCCTCCCCAATAATAGTACATTATGTTGCAATTTGTATCACTATTGAGGCATTATCGCGAAAATGGTTCATTATTTTTTGGATTACTGTCCTAAAAATGATAGAAATTACAACATAATGTACTTTTTTATGAGTAATGTCCAAAAATGATACAAATTGCAACATAACATACTATGAAGAAGAGAAATTTAGTGTACCAAAAAAGAATTTTAGACTAGTAAACATACCAAAATTAAAAAATTTCCCTTTACCTTCATAAATGTTCAAAATTGATATTTACATTCAAAGTGAAATAAAAAAAATAAACAAACAAAAAGTCATTTATGTTATAAATACATTAATATGGACATTACTAATATATAACTGGGCCTGAAGTCCATTAGTTAGTAGAATTAGGTTTTAGGGTTTCTCCCTTGTAAACTCTATAAAAGAGTGAATACCGATGAATAATATAGACTTTTCTGCTACTCTGTTCTTATTCTCTTTACTGCACATCTTTATGTTTGGTTGATTGGTGGATTCTTGGTGAATACAGAAGAGTTCCAATTTACAACACGTTATCAGCACGCTCTAGTTCGTTCTTGGTGTTGCCCTCCTACACGGTATTTTCGAGATCCAAGTATTCGGATATTTTTTTTATGATATTGCATATGTATGTTAATATATATATATATATATATATATATATAGATATATATATATATATGCGATCAAGTTTTTTATTGTTCAAAATATTTTGGTTCCCCTGTTTCGGAGATCGCATACGAAATTTGGATTAAAAGTGGTACAGTTTTTCTAAAATTATTTTATTCGCGTATGTGAATATGTACTTGATTGAAATTGTTTGGACTATTGTGAAAGGATTTTGATATCCTATTTTGATTGTATTAGTTCATATCCTAATGGGGGCACCAAAGAGGGATTTATATGTCCATTTAATTTGTTAGACAATTGTGGGCAATTCTGCTTCTGTTTATTTTATTAAAGCATCTTCATTTGATGGACCATAATTTAATCTGTTCGGATACATGTTAATGGTATTTATGCCTGGGACAGTGAATAATGTGCTTGGCTTTCTGATTATGATATTAAGTGGAAAGGCTTGATTAACTAAACATGAATATTTATTTACTGATCATGTTGCCTTATTTGCTGGAATTGAATTTTTATATACTTGGCAGACATGAAATAATTGATGTTCTGATTGGATTGGTATATAAACTTGGATGTGATTTATATATACATGCATGGTTCATCACGGATTATTTTCTCGAAGCATCAAAGATTATTGAAAAATTGAAACAAATTGAATTACTGTTATGATTTAATTATATATGCTGCATGATAGTTTAGTAACTGAATCCCTTTCAGTAATCTGTTATATGCCGTGTGAATTATATTCTGATAAATCATTGTTGAGGTTAATGAACAGTTTATATATAATATCCTCATAATATAGATTTATGAACTCATTTTTTTTATATGCTCCATTGTTATCTACTTACTTGATCAATCTGCAAATGATCCAGAATCTTTGTTTTGGTGTTGTATTATCTTATATTATATTTCGACAGATTATAGTATCATTTGATTAGCAGATTAAAATCCAAATGCGCAGTTTCATGGATTTTTTTTTATTCATAATATCCTTTAATAATCATATTATGTTTGTATTGAATAAATTATAGATGTCTGATATCACCAAAAGAGAATTTGCTGAACTCGCCCTTGATGGAAGTAATTATTTGACTTGGGCCCTTGATGTTGAGATTCACCTGGCCTCATTTGACTTAAGTGCCACAATTGATTCTAAATCTCAGAGCACTCCTGCCCAGAAGGCAAAGA